TCGGGCGCCATAGACCTCCATTATTTGAATGTCAGCAGACAGCAAGAAGCCTCCCAGATCTCCAGATGCATTTGAGATATCAAAAAAGTACTCCAGAGTTTTGTTCAGCATGGGGGTGAGTAGAAAATGAAGGCTAATCATGTTTTGGGTGTACTATTCCTTTAAGGATTTAAATCTGATGAGTTTGTTAATGTGAATTTGACATCCATGCAACTTTTGAGACTTCTTTACTGTCGTTTCTCTTAAAGACAGGTAATGATCCAATCTGCCTCCATGTTCTGGTTTTCCAAGTTATGATATCTGTGTAATGGCAGAAATGCCATTTCAGCATAATTTAATCATCCATTGCACAGCATTACTGCACCAGAAAAATCAATGAAAGGGACAACAGAGATATTAAGGTGATGAATTAATATTCAGAAGACAGTCTGCGCCTTTATTTTGTTTATTTTAGAGGCAGCTGTTACTGCATCAAATATTTTTACGTTTCTGATTCGGATGAATTCTAGCAGAGCTTAATGCCAAATTCTTAACTGTATCTTTCTCTGACTAATGCATTAGTCTGACAAAAAGAGAGAAATAGAGCTCATTGACTAGCCAAAACTTCACACACACAAAACCTGTCTCATTATTAAGACACCTCTCACCATTTTCTCAAATTCGAAGAGTGAGACCTCCACGATGTTCAGCTTAATTTCCCAAGTATATTATACCTCAACATTTTATTAGACTGACAAAACAAATCTAAATCAAAGTATTATAAATCTGTAAGACAGGGATAACAAATCTAGGCAATAGCAGAGGGGAAAATATCAGCTGTTTTGTTACCTCAGAAAAAACAACACCAACTATTCAAAGTATTTGCAACATGCAGCTCAGTCAAGAAATACGAAAGCCTGACTCTGCTTTTAGATATCGTCAGGACAGCCAATGATTGTCATTCTGTCCTTTTTTAACTAAGCAAACCGCCTCCTGGGGCCTTAGACAGGCAGAAACAAGAAAAAAGGGAGCAAATGCTACACTTCCCTCTGAAAATCAAGTGTTTCAATGTTTTTCTGAAGTTGCTAGTCTAATTCCATAAGTGAGGGTTTATGAACAATAACTAAGCAGTGTCCTTTATTAGCTTTAGTAGGTGTCTTAACTGCAATGTGGTGTCATTAGTAGCACCTTGCAGTGAGATTCTGTTTTCAAAGGGGGCCTCCGTTCTTTCTGCAAAGTTTGCCTATTCTCCCAGTGCATCTGAGTACTTCCTCTTCCTCCCACAGCTGAAAAGCAGGAGTGTTAGCTCAATTGGTCTCTCTAATTTGCCCTTATGAATGAATGTCAGTTCGATGCAGAGTTTGATACATGATTTAGAGTTTTTTCAACATTAAATTGTCACATGGCGGTGGGGAAGAAGGGTGTGCCTTGCCGTTATTCAAGTAGGAGCTGGAGAAAGGCACTGGTCTCAAACTGTAAATTGATAAAATACCTAAGGAACCTGGATATTAAACAGTCTTGGTGAGGGGCCATTGTAAGGGTAGTTTTTTTTCTATATTTTTTGTAATATTCTCATTTTCTGACAAGTATACTTTTAAGTTTACAAAAGATGGTCAGAGGACCCAAACTTAACTTCAAGTTCTAGTCCAGACAGAGTAGTTCTTATACAGTTATAAGATATTATATGGCAGGTGGATGATGACACTTAAGATTAGGATAATTTTAAAGAGATTATTCTCATTTTGACATCTGCTTATTGATGTTCGAGCCAGTTCTTAAATCATCCAATCCAAGCCTGTTTTCTTTCTCTCTGTGGATAGCAGCCCGCCCATGTGATCAGCTTGCCCTAAGCACGGCACTGCATGTGATGCTGTGTATCTCCAGTCAGCAAACCACCACCACTGCTCACATATTCTCACAGGGTCAGATTCTTCTATCACCCTCCTACAACATCTTCCTTTAACAAGCATGGCCCTGGGAATAATTGGCCAGGTTTAACAAGAGGGGGGGTAATTGGGATGTGTCTCTGGCATCCACAGTGATGACAGAGCACTCGTTAGGGCTGCAGGCAAACTTATACTCAATTTTAACTCTAGGATTAAGCAGTGAGGTCTCACAATGAATTTTGCTGAGTGGGCAAACTGATGGCCAAACTGCCAGGGGGTGGGGGTTGGAGTGGAAGTGGAAAAGTGTTAAGCTGAAAATTCACAATGCACCAAAATCAGGTGGGAAAATTGTCCAAATGGTCTCATGGATGCAGGAAATGGTATGTGTGCATGTTTTTCATCTTTGTAGATAATCAAATGAATATGTCAAATGATTATGCAATGTGTCATGGGATCTTCAAAGACTATTTCTAGTTGTCATGGCAATAATTTTACTCTTTAAATCAGGATAGACATGAGGTTAAATCTGTATTTGGATATAAATGTCCAAAAACATCTGTCTTTCAGGGACACTGTTATGCATTGTTAAGATTATCACTCACTGTGAAATTAATCATAAAGCCAGATAAACCCAAGAGAGTCGACAGACATAAAACTGACATTTTAGAATAAAGAAATGATTGTTCAGCTTCTCCACCACAGTAGCATAACCTTATCCAGGGTGATTTTGTGTCAAGGCTTCAGAATAAATTGTCTATAAAAGCACCAACCATCCCATGATTATTTTTTTTCTGGCAATATTCTAGAAAATTCATTTCATCCATAAAGTGTTTTGCAAAAACAATAGAAACTGTTAAAACTCACTCTATTTCTCAAGTATAGTATATTATTAAGGTTAAGAGATTCTTTTAAAGTTGACAGGTCCAACACTCATTCTAAACTATAACCCCAGCAGCACTCATCTCTTGGTCTTCTTTTTGGTTAAGTATAGTTCATGTTTGATAATTGAATTGTACTTTATGATCTCACAATGGAGAAATTTACCTCTATATTTAACCAATCCCCTTGGGGAGCAGTGGGCCGCCACTGTGCAGCGCCCGGGGAGCAGTCTGGGGTTAAGGGTCTTGCTCAGGGACCCAGAGTGTAGGCTGTGGGGATCAAAACGGGGACTTGCAACTTTCTCAGAGCACAAGCACACTGCTCTAAAAACTAGGCCAACACTCCCCAATGGCGTCTTTTGGTCCAGTGGAGGTGGAATTGGGAAAGGGGGTGTTTGACCTGTCTGGTCAGACTTTAAATGATAACAGATGTTCTTAGAGTCAAAATGTCTTGACAGCTGCTTTCTTTCCGACAGAAGTCAAAGCGAGTATA